AAAATTCACGGTTTGTCTATACTGTATCACGCATGTATTATGTATATAAACATTCCTCTTAAATCACTATATCTGCTAAAAACTGCATTAAAATCCATTGCGCAATTTAAAAGATATACACTAACAGACTGCGGCGGTGACTTTTTTATAAAAAGATTAAACAAATAAATACAATGGCTAACTATTGGAACGAACGCAAGCCACTCTTAACTGAAACGGAATGTAACGGTCTGACGTCACAGCAATAGAGACGTCAAGTGGAAGACAACGGGCAGCGAAAGTCCATTACTGCATCCATTTTGTGTTGTTCTTCTATATGAAACATAATACATACCTAGCTGTAACGTATATATGTAGGATTCCGTGGATAAATAAATGCATGAAGTGGAACGGGGAGTGAAAGGGACAGATGGATGTATGCGAGAGAGACTGATTGAGAATGGAGGCGGGAAAAACAAAAGAATGAGTTTTGGGCATTTGAATGTGGAGAGAAAAATAGAGATAAATTACAGTAAGTAATAAAAATACATTATTTCTTAACCATCAAATTCTACATATATATGCACTCTCCTACAAGTTATTTTGAAATATGGATTACGTTATTATATCATTTATGTAAGTAAATTTTGAATTTTGGGCTCGAAATTCTTATATTGTTCTATGACATAATATTGTTTTTAATAATTTTCCGTAAAATATTACCGTATTTCCAAGTGCAATAATAGTATATTACGATATAAATGCATTATGATTCAGAGATTAGCCGGAACAAACAGACAGACAGACTGACAAAAATTGTAAAAAATGTTATTTTGGTATACGTACCGTATTTATATTCACATGCATGTCTAAAAACAGTTATTTCAGTATTACAAACAGACACTCCAATTTTATTTATATGTATAGATGTATAGATCGAGTCAGTCCAAATTTAGTACTATTCAGAAAATCAAGGAAAGAAAAATAAAAGACTGCAAATAAAAACGAACTGATCCTATTTAAATGGCAGTCCAATTCCAGCCTATTTACCGGAGAGATACTTTTTATTTGACCGGCCCGTACTATCTTTGTTTGTCTTTTTACTTTGAATGGAACTTTGCAGGTTTGTTCTTTACGCCTTCATAATTACTAGGAATTTGTTTTTTGAAGGTATTTTTATGTAATAGGTGCCCCTATTGTATAAAAATGCCTTCAAATGAATGTGTAATCAATTTATAATAATTTTCACACAGTCCATTTAACTATATCCTATGACTATTTATATGTTCCTAATGCTTTGTTTAAAAGAATTCTCTACTTATTACATGTCCATAGAAAGAAAAATTATTGAAATACCAGTATAAAAATATTAGAACATTACTCTGTATCTAATAAATAAAATAATAATCTACTCTATACACGTATAATAATAATAATCTCAGGACAATTCACACAGCGCCATCTAGACTCAAATTATGCTAGATAAAGCTTGTGTTATGGGTACTAGATAATTGATGATTAAACGAACTTACACAAGTGAAGTTCTATCATAATTATACGAAGTGCTTCGTCCGAAGAGATTAGTAACCTGTAAAGTAATAGAATATATGTAGTTACACGTAAGTGACACCACTTTGCACTGAAATGTGTAGGTATTAATGAATGAATTAATTTTTTTTTTTTTTTGAAGGTACCTGACATTTCTTATTCGGTTGTCTCACATTGTAGCTTCATTCAGTTCAGAGTCGTTTCTTTATTTTATATTTTCTGAACTTATTGTTCGGGTAGGGGAGGGAGGGATGTGTTACTAATCTCTTCGGACGAAGCACTTCGTATAATTATGATAGAACTTCACTTGTGTAAGTTCGTTTAATCATCAATTATACTCGTGCTTCGTCCTCGAGATTAGTAACCTGTAAAGTAATAGAATATATGTAGATTTTGAAAGTTAGTTCAGAAAATAATGAAGATTAAAATAAACTCGTTATTTTTAGTATCATTTTATTATTATAAGGAGATTAAATGAATTCATAATTATCATAGATAATTCGTAACCACTAATTTGTAATCATTTGTTGTGTACTTAGTAGTACCTAATAAATGAACAAAAAATTATGTCCTCTACAAATAGTAAATAAACATACAATTAATAAATCCAATACATATATTAGATTGATGATTAATAATAATTTCTAAACTCTTTAATTATTATTTAGGATGGCTCTAGCAAATGAACCATCATTGTTATTGTTTATGATAGTTCTATTATAGAATTTTCCAAATGTACTCGAAGAACCACTCCATCCAGCCGTCTTTCGAATTATGTCGATAGATATGCCACAATTGTAAGCTTTTGAGGTGGCAGCATGTCGGGTACTATGTGCCGTGAAAACAGAGACATCGATTCCGCATTTTTGAAGTGTTGATTTTATCCACCGACTTAGGGTCTGGGGTCCTACGTTATTATGGGGTTTCTTAAAGCCAATAAACAGTTTATTATTGTTCTTGCGTAAGGCTTGAGTTCTTTCCATATATGCTACCAATGTTATACAGGGGCATATTTGAGGTCTTTCTGAAAAGAATGGTAAAGTTAAAAGGGGTTGCTTGGAGCCCAGGTTACTAGTTTTTAGTCTGTCTGGTATTTTAATTACAATCCGTGTGGGTAGATGTTCAATATTGTTTATATTAATTTGTGCTAATGTCTGTACCCTATGTGCGGAAGTGAGAGCTAATAAGGTAACGCATTTTTTACTGAGATCTTCTAAAGACAGCTGGTCGTTAGGGTACATAGTGCCAAGGCAGTCAAGTATTGGGGCTGTATCCCACGTTACGTCATATTTAGGCAGGGGTGGACGTAGCCTGTATACACCTTTAAAAAATCGTGTTAGTCGGTCGTCTTTTGCTAGACGGGGCCCTAATATAAGTGAGAGTGCAGATCTGTATGAATTTAGAGTGCCAAATTGACAGCCGTTATTATAACTTTCTGCAAGGAAGGCCAAAATAATCGGAATGGATGCTTCGTAAATATCTACCTTATGTTTGTTACAGAAAACAAACCACTTCTTAAATGCTATATCATATTGTTTGTAAGAGTTATCAGTTAGTGAGGCCATCATAATTTGTAACGAAGAGGTTGGTATACTGCGTCGCGATAGTGCTGCCCGCACAACACTCCGACTTCCAGGGTAAGCTTCGACTGCAAGTTCTGGCTGCTGCTGGGAGGCATAATAATACATGTATTATTTTTAAAAATTATAGTATTTGTCACGAGTAATTTACGGAAGATGGGGTACCATGGTTGAGTGGGCCACCTAGGGACCACCATGATGCCCCTTGCTTTGTCCGATATGATTTTTCTTAATGTTTTTAATATGATCGCAAATGGAGGGAAAGCAAAAAGTACGTCTTTGACCATTTAATGGTAAAGGCGTTAATGGCTATGGCATCCGGGTCTTTATGCCAGGATACGAAATTACTACATTTGGCGTTAATTCGACTAGCAAACAAATCAATTTTTGGGGTTCCAAACTGACTCGTAACCAGTTCAAACGCTTCGCTAGTTAGCTCCCATTCGGCATCAGGATGTATTCGTCTGGATTCTGCATCAGCGATTACATTATCTGTGGATTTTATGTATGAAGCATATATATATAAATTTCTATCTTCGCACCATTTCCAGATATCTTTGGACACTTTTGTGAGGTGGGGGAATTGTATTCCACCCATGCGGTTTATGTAAGCAATTGCAGTAGAATTATCTATATGAATTAGTATTTGACAACTACTGAGGTCTTTGGTAAATATTTTTATCCCAAACAATGCAGCCATTAGCTCTAACTCGTTTATATGTTTCATCTTTTCTTCCTTTGTCCATGACCCACTGGCTGTATTTTCGCCACAAGCCGCTCCCCATCCTGTGGTAGAGGCGTCCGTATATATCTCCCGATGATACTCATCGATTCTAATTTTTCGTGAGGATGATTTGATACATTTTAACCACCAGTTGAAGTCAGGTAATAACCTGTTTGGTATGGGCATGTACTTATCATAATTTTGGTCTTCTCTAAGGTGTAAATATTTGTGCCGTTCGAATTCCTTCGTATAGAGTAGACCGTATTCAACAGCGGGACAAGCGGATACCAGAAGGCCTATTATTTGTGCAAATTTTCTAATTTTGCATCGTTTCAGTTTTATCACCTTGGTGAGTTCTGTTTGTATATATACTTTTTTATCATCGGGCAAGGTAATATTAAATTTTATTGAATCTATAATAAAGCCTAGAAATGTGCACTTTGTTGCTGGTGAGAAATTACTTTTTGTTTCGTTGATTATAAAGCCGAGACTTTGTAATAATTTTTTAGAGATTAATAGGTTGCGTTCGCAATCACGGTATGTTTGTCCCAATAAAAATAAGTCATCGAGATAAATTGTGGATAAGAGGCCACACATGCGCAGAAGTTTAATGACTGGTTTCATAATTTTTGTGAAAGTATATGGAGCGGTGTTTAAGCCAAATGGTAGGACATTAAATTCATATATTTTGCCTGACCATTTGAATCTTAGGTATTTTTTTGAGTCTGTGTGCACCTTAATTAAAAAATATGCATCTTTTAAATCCAGTGTTGCCATGAAGCAATTGCTGGTAACTAATTTAATCGCTGTGCGTAAGTCTTCGAGTTTGAAATGATCAGTTTTAATGAATTTGTTTAATTGTTTTAAGTTCAATATAAATCTAAATTTACCATTAGGTTTAGGTCGAAGAAATACTGTTGAAAGAAACTGATTCCTATCGGGACAACATTCAGTAATGGCCCCCATGTTTAATAGGTCGGTTATTGCCATATTGAATTGACTTTTCTCAATGTCGGTGTATTGGCCCACTATTGGTTCGTGTTTCTGTACAGGAGGACAAGAGAATTTAATTCTGTAACCGTTCACCCATGATAGTATAGTGGGATCATCGGTAATGAGCGCCCACTGTTTATAGAATAATGAAAGTCGACCGGCATACTTTACCATGTTTAACGACGTCCTGAGGGTTTCGGCGGAGGTTGCGACGGCTTCGACGAGTTGAAGTGCGTCGGGTTCTGTGAGTACCAGCCCTGTCGTGGAGCTGTCGTGCGAGGAGCAGGCCCGCGGCTCCGTTGTGGTCCCTGTTGTTGCCTGCGAGCTAGGACCGGAGCTTTGTAGTTTAAATTTCCCGTTGTGTTTTGTGGGTAAGGTCTGGTTTGGGTTTTTATTTTTAAATCTGAGCCTGATTTAGAGACCGTTTTTGCGGTTTTCAGTGTTTCGCTGAGATTTTCACCGAAAAGATATTTGTCTATTTTTGTATTAGTTAAGTGCTCTCGGAGGTCCTTTTTTATTGTGCTCATTGCTAGATAGCGTCTGGTGACAGATTCGGCGTGCTGTATATCGCATAAAATGCGAGTAACGTCCATTAAAGTTTTAAGGCGTGAGCTATCCCTGTCTTTAGAATTTAGCTCCTGATTGAGTACACCAGCTAACCCAGAGATTGCTGATGCAAGCTGTTTCTGGCGCGATTCTATGCCTTTATCACGTTTTATTGTGATTTCAGATAGTGCCGCTTTTATTTCGGCGTTTACGAGTGGCGCAGCAAATTTTGTACTGTTTGCAGGTATTAGATATTTGCTGCATAGTTCTCTGCGGGTTTCCTTAGTCAGCCCATCAGTCGCAATATGTTGGAGGCGATTTGCAAGTTCTTTGTGAATATCTCTACCATATTCTGTTACAGAAGATGGGTCATCACCCAAGATATCTAAGGCAACGCTATCAAGTGTGTCGATGGTGCCAGCATCATTTTCAACCGTTTGAGTGACAGGTTCGATTTCAACCGATGGCTCGGTTTGAAGGTCAACAGTTGGCTCCATTTCGCTCGTTGGTGTGGGTATTATAAATTCTTGAATGTCTGGTTGAAAGGGTGTATCTAATTTGGGTGAGCTTGAGCTGTCCAGTATATCCCGAACTGTAAAAACGGGAAGTACAGGTCAGTAGATTTTTTTTTTTTTTTCTACTAAAGTAGGCAGTATATCAATATATACCTATGGCAGTATATCAATATATTTGGTTATAGAATTGCCCTGGTGGGCACGGTAAGCACCACAGGGGTCAGTCCCAAAGACCTGCCCTTTTTTGTGAGAAACCGTTTATAATGCCTTGAATAACAGTCCCGAAGACTGTTTTGGTAGGCTATGTGAGATTATGCCATGGTGGCATGGTCTATTACACAACAGATCAATCCCAGAGATTAATCTTAACTGTGTAAGACCTTAAAAATATCAATGATATGTGTATGTATATAGGAGAACTGTTCCAGTTCTGTAATGGGTTAGTACTCACTAATACTACTTAATTGGTATGGAAAATGTAATGTTTCCATATGCCTGTTCTACTAGAGACTTGCTGTAATACTTGTGAATATTCTATTTAGAATTCGGACTCGAAATGTAACTTTTTTTTTTTTTGTTAATATGTACTAGACAACCATGTTCGGTACTTTATATGGCGAAAAATAGAAGTATTCAGGTACTTACTTGCTTGTTCATCGGAAGCGGGTGCTGAATCATGAGAGCTGCTATCACTGATACGACGCCGTCGCATGCGTTTTAATTTTTTCTCCAGCTTTTTTATCTTCTTACTTATACTATCTAAATCGTTATCGGAATTCTTCCTTTTTGGCATTTTTGCACTAAGAAAACTTAACAACCGTTAGTATAGACAGTGAGACGTGCGCAGTGGTCGAGCACTGAAACGTGAATGAAGCTACAATGTGAGACAACCGAATAAGAAATGTCAGGTACCTTCAAAAAAAAAAAAAAAAATTAATTCATTCATTCATTAATACCTACACATTTCAGTGCAAAGTGGTGTCACTTACGTGTAACTACATATATTCTATTACTTTACAGGTTACTAATCTCGAGGACGAAGCACGAGTATAATACATAGTAAACACCCAGACCGATACAAACAATTATACTCATGAATACTCTTTAACTCATTGTACTAATTATATCTATCAGTTATCTAGTATGCATAACACATGCTCTGCTTAGCTTGGTACTTAATGGCGTTGTGTGAACTGTCCAGGGACATTATTATTAATTATTAATATTATTGTATGTAGTTTATGTAAGTGTATCTAGTTTAATATATGAATATTATTGTGTACATAAATTTTAAATCATATAATATTTATTATTATTTTCCTTTATCATCATTATATATTTGTTACCTTTTAGTTTTCTCCTGTTCAGGTCATTTTACCTACCTGTTCGGTGTTTCAAACCGTTTCCCTAAGGTTGCCTTGAAAAGATTGCTTTTAGCAATAAGGCCGCCTTATTGTAACGATACATGTGTCCTTTGTTATATTGTTTGTGCTTCTTCTTTACTGTACGTTGCAAATAAAGTATATTCTATCTATCTATCTATCTATTATTAATTACTTAAAAAATGTATATAAATGTAAATGAAGTAATATGCCAAGGTATGAAGAAAGAAGCTTGGACCTTTATTGCATCTGGTTATTGGATTTGGGCACGCGGTTTCACTAATCCGTATCGGCGGGAGGCAGAAAACTTTTGTTATCGCCGGGATAACGAAGTTAATCGCATTAAATGAACTAATAGGATTACAAAGACAAACTCACACCAGGTATTCGGTTGTTGGTTGAACGGAAAAGATGGGACCGTCCATATAAAATTGCGAAACTAAATTATAATTCCCGGGGGAAGAGTTTGTTAGTAGTAGTACTTATTACCAATGCTCCAATGGTTAATAATATCCTATCAGGTTGACCTCCAACCGGGTGGAGATCAATCTGATATGATATTGATAGCTATTGTAGCACTGGTATATGCACTGCTACTTACAAATCCTTGTAATATTCGCAAAGATGAAATGATATGATATTTATTCAGTAGAAGAAAAAACTAAAGAACATTAAACAAACAAAAAATAAATAAACAGTGCGACAATTACAAAAAAAAGTACACAAATTACGTGTGTGCGCGTGTGCGTGCATGTGTATGTTTATCGAAGCATCTAGACCTACTGAATAGGTCCGTGCTCAGCATAATGCTGCAGCGGCTGGAGCGCTGCAACGCTGTTTTTCAGCACAAGATCTGGGGTGGTGTATTGCCGTGTTGTACACGAATTATGATATGATAGATGGTCTAAATGTTTTAACTTCATTCTCACTATGTCATCTTCAACTCGTGCCCCGGTAGTGTAACATATCAAATCAAATCAAATTCATTTAGGCCCTATTTGTCCTAGCCCCATATGTACAAATGTCCTGCAAGCATATGCTAGTGTATCAAATCAAATTCATGTAGAACCTATTTGTCCTAGCCCTATATGTACAAATGTCCTGCATGCATATGCTAGTGTATCAAATCAAATTCATGTAGGACACATTGGTCCTAGGCCTATATGTACAAATGTACTACGTCCATATCTGGTGAAGACATGTGGTAATAGTTCAAGCAGTCCAGTCTGATATTCGTACCTTGTTCATTATATTCTTATAATATGCCTGAACAATTCACACAGCTAGATCCAAGTAAGCAGAGCTTGTGTTATGGGTACTGGAAAACTGATATAAATACTTAGATCCTTTATTTATAAATACATATATAATTTACATAGAAAACACCTATAACAATACAAACAATCATACTCATGATTACAAATGTTTGTGCCGTGCGAGGAACCGAAGCCGCGTCTAATAGAAGTAAGGCGGTGCGCTAAACCTATAAACAATTGAAGCCGGTATATACGAAATAACAATTAAATGCTGATTCATGTATCTCAATAACCATTTCTATTATTTCAGCATTTGATATGGGTCCATTATACTCGTACAGTAATTATACGTCATTTACACGATCCAATAATACATGATAATTAATAGAAATCTAGATTTCGTGATATCCAATAAATGCAGAGCTTTTGTGTGCTAACTGTTTTTTATCCCTGATAATTATTTCAGCCTGTATCTATCCACTGTTGGATATCGGCCTTTCCTAATGTTTTCCACCATGTGCGATGTTCCGCCGTCAGTATCCATCTAGTTCCGGCCATCTTCGTGATGTCGTCCATCCATCTTGCAGGAAGGCACCTAACACTCCGTTGAGCCGTACGTGGTCTAATGCATAATGCACCAGTGAAAGATGATACGGTGAGCATAATGTCAGGTCAACTAGTCATCATCGTGGTGAACTCACCAGGAATAATCAAGATGTTTTAAGGGAGGATTTGTTGAGAGATGACATGTGTACATTATTTGTAATAATAATAACCCGGGACAATTCGCACAGCAAGTAACAAATCTGAGTAGTTCGAATTCCAAGCTAAGTAAAGCTTGTGTTATGAGTATTAGACAACTGATATAAATACTCAAATAAAATTTTGTAAATACAAAAGCAGTATACATAGAAAATACCCAGACCCATACAAACAATCAATCATTATGAATTCAAACGTCTGCACTATTCAAGGAAGAGAACCCGCGACCATCGGGAACCAAACGGCGTGCTAAACCGTGAGACAATCGAAGCCGTCATGGGGTCCCTATTCCCCCTTAATTGATAGATAAATGCTATAATTTTTTTTCAAACTATTCTAATTCCATTGGCTTCAGATGGCACTCCAAACCCTCGGAAGGACTTATGGAGCGGCTGAAGGCCAACTCCTTAAATTACACTGGGGTAACTCGTGCAGGCGACTTTTTATATATACACGACACTAAATTCAGGGGCACACTACACACACACACAATAAGACCTACAATACGATCCAGAACAATATACTCAGATTTGTTTTATGACGTATTTCTAAAAAGTAACATGACAACAAAATTCGGAGGGGAAATGACAGATAATTCCTAATTGAAGAATAGAATAGAATAGAATAGAAATAATCTTTATTAAATTAATTCAAATAAACTCATTACAAGCACTTTTGTAATAGTCATATTTTGAACCAGATTCCTCTTCTTTCCTACCAGACACTACCACAGCTTCCAAGATTAGTTTTAATTTCAATTTCAATATATATTTATTGATGTAGGTGCATTACAGACACTTAGGACAAGTCTAATTATTAATTATAATTCATTTACAGTGTACATATATGATAGTGTAATATTTAAACTATTACTTAGAGGATATCTTAATGTAATAGCTTATACATCGAACAAACAAATCTTAAGTCTAATCTTACATAATAAACAAAACAAATAAAATAAACAATAATTTAAATTGTGGCACATTGTGCTTCGATGCATTCTGATAGTTGTGCAATTAGTGCAACATCACGTAAACATTTTATGTACATTTTTGTACAATTAAGCAGGTACAAATAAACGTGCAGAATTCGTCGAGTGCTTTAACTAATGACACATCAGGGGACTGCAGCCCTGTTATTTTAAATTGCACCCTCGCTTTAGACGACAGTCCCCTGGAAATTGCGCTAAATGCGAAATGTCTAGTACGTTGTTTTTAAAAGTGGTGTTTCAATTTGCTTTCATACTACCCGTTGCATTGTTAAGTCGTGGAGCTTTATTGAGCATTGTACAGCATTTTTATTAGTTTGCAGTATAAAACGAAACAAAGGAGCGGAACGTAATAAATGAATTATACCGTGATATTGAATGCAAAATTTTTGAAATTTCGCAGAAAAGTTTCGCAATAGCGTTTGCAAATTTTCAGTTTTACGAAGTTTCGTTATCCATAAATAATACAAAATAAAGTAGCTTTTTTCTCTATTTCTGCATCAGTCTTTATATTTGTATTCCTGCGATTACTCACACCATTCACACATTCCATTAACCACACAACTGATTTTGGTACTGTTGCTAATTTCGAGAATTTCTTCCTGAAGATTTTTTTCAAACTTAAAATAATTTATTGGCATAAGACTTTCGGCTTCTTAGGCACCTATTTTTTATCACTATCTCTACCCATATTGGTTAGTTAGGGTAGATTTGACATATCATAAGAGTCTGTAATAATTACTTACTACATGAATAAAGATATTTTTATTTATTTTAATAAAAACAAAAATAATAAGAGAATTATCAAAATATATCTGTCATACAGCACTAATAAATTAGCAAGCTAATTCATATAGCTTAAATAAATCTATTAGTCAAAGTAATAAATTAGTTTAGTCACAAGTCAGAGGTATTGACTTGTGACTAAATTAATTACTTTGTAGTTGTAGTTGAAAGTGTTAAGAAAGTCAGCTGGTACATTTTTATATTATTTTCAATTTGTAATGAATTGAATGTAATAATTAAAATTATTATTATTATTATTTATATGTATATTACATTAATATAGTACATAAGTACTAACTCTATCTCAAACACTGAACACTGGTATCGCCATTATTTCATATGACATAGACTGCTTCTATGATTTATGTTGATTAGGTTATCTCAACTAATAAAAACTATTTATTTTTGTCCACAATCATGAACAATACCGCGGGTCTATTCATAGCTTGTCATTTCTATGGACAAAAGGGTTTTGATTCCGCACCCAGTATCTTCCCCGTCAAATAATATTTAACTTTTGCAGCCGTACATAAAAAACTGGTACGCGAAACTCGAGGGCATCGTAAAAAGCATCTTTATATTAAATGTCATTTAGGTAAATATCTTCAGAATTCCGAGCATTTATAAATGTCTGGCCTGCATAGTTTGTTATAATTTCTTTCTGGAATTCTTAGCAGAAAATTTATAGTAATATCATGTGCTGCAATAAAAAGACATGGTCCTCTGGCGGTCTGCCAACAGTTTTACCAAACGTAAGGGTCTGAGTGCAGATGGCATTCTAGAATTTATGGAGAGACTGAAGGTCAACTTCTAATGCTAAGACATTACTCTAACTAATTAATTTATAATACTAACTAACTTAACTAATTAATAATAGCCGCAGTTCTAAACTCAACTCATCTTATTATACTTATTTATTGTTAGTTTGGTGTAATTTATATATATTATTAAAAACTTAATTTGCAACTATTCAACGAGGAACAAAACCCAGTATATCATGAAGCGAAGATGACCACCTGATTTGAAATAAAAAATTAATATCAAATTTATATATTATTAATGATATATTAAAAAAAAAAGATGTGGCACAAGGAAGACGTACAAAACAAATACGGTTGAATTTAGAATCTTATTCTTATTTTAAGTCAGTCGAAAAAGATACAACAATACACAATATACCTTTTTTTACTCATTAGGACTTTTAGACGGACCTATGTAATTAGTTTTAAAGATACTTTTAGGTGAACGATATACCATGCATCAGTATTCAGTATATTGAAAAATCCTCAAAAGATTTAACCTACGATTTTTGCTAAATTAGAGAAATCAGGCCAACCATCATCAGTATCGTTCGTAACCTTCTTTTCACCTTTGAAATCTTTCAATATCTGTAGTGTAGGTCTTTCAGTCTTCTCTTCTAATTTCAATACCTCACCACGATTAATCCTCTGATACTTCACTATCAGCTCCAATATTTCATGCTGCATCATCAGACGGAGTTCGCTCGTCAAATTCTTCATCGCAATTCCTACATATTGCCCAAAGACAAAATCTTCGTTCACCTGGTGCGACAAGAACTCTCTTCCGAGTTGTGTCAACACATTTCTTACTAAACTCGTGGGTGTAAGATTTGATATATTATTGGCAGGCTTCTGAGAGTGTTTCCATAGAACTTTATCATATTTTGGTCGGATCGGTGGTGGTCCTATGGCTACTGAGATGACTTCATCATTTTCCATATCATCTTCGTTGAGAGGCTTTAGGTGACCAGATGGCTGTGAACAAAGAGTATTATGAGTATCTTGTTTTGAGTTACAATATATTGGTATACTTAAAACTAGTAATTCTGGAATCATAAATGTTTTAACAAGTAATTGTAGTATTACGTATTATATTTAAAAATATTAAATTATGACCAATTAATAGTTTAATAGTCCCGTAAAACGACATGAATTTTAAACATTTCTTATAAATTTTTGAATATACAATTAAATACAGTATATGAAGAATATGAAGAAACGAGTTAATTCACAAGTCTCGCACAATATTTTAGGAAGAAATACTCTATTTAACGAGGAATAACATCAAAGTAACAAAGCCGCTGTAAATATACATACATGTTTATATAGTAACCATATGTTCAAGAATTATATCCCGTATCCCGTAATTGGAGGTATTAATTAACATTTTAGAGAATGCAAGACTACCCGTTGCAGGGATCCAGCCTATCACCTCGTCGTGTCTCTGATATTTTTATGGATGATAATGGAATAGAGCACTCGCCTGCGCTAACGGTCTACGCTGGCAGGGCACCAGTGGAGGATAATAATATGAACATGAGGTCAGGTCAGTTAGCCCATAGTTGGTTTCCAAGGGTAACCGCGTGGAGGTCAACCTGACATAATATATTGCTAGTAATGGAGTCATGAGTCCACATTGCTAACAATCTCATTCATGTCTCTGTATTATTGGTACAGATGTAGTAAATATCTAGTATAAAATATATTTCATCACCTTTTTCCTCAATTCCCTGGGGCGTAGCGTAGTAGCTCGTCTCTTTAGTTCACCGTCACTCGGTAGCATGTGTCTTTTGGAATGGTAATGGAGACCTTTACGAAGTTCACGGCCCTCTCTCCTCTCGTCTCCTGGGGATTTCCATGCTTCCTGTAAAGAAGTATTTATATAACATGTAAAGCTATAAATTCTCGAGCAATTGGTATACAACCACTTTATAAGTTTTTATGATAAAAAACACTTATTATAGTCATGTTTAAAATTGTTTGGATACGTAATTATTATGAAAATTGACCAATATATGGGAAGAATATAATTTTAGCCCTGTTATAGAAAACGGGTATTAGCTAAAAGCCAAAATTTAGTATGATCAATATGATCATATTAGAAAAAAATTATGCGTATTTGTAAAAATATTAGACTCCCATAAAAAATTTCTATGTATACTTATTTAATTTAGTTACGACCTTCTCTATTGGCATTCAAATTTCGACCGTTATTGAGTCTATACCCATTGCGACACGTGTTTCGCCTCTGAACAAGCCATCAGATGTTTCGTTCAATCCAATAAGTAGTACAATGAAATATGTAGAAAGACAATAATTGAAATAAATGGATTCACATTTATATTTTTGCTTTTAATGCTGCAATGTCATGCAAAAACTATTAGATTTAATTAAAAATCTTCACACATTTCCGCGTTTAAAATATCAGTAAGAATTTGCCGCTACAATTTTGTTCGTTGCTCGACTACGCACTTAAATATTATTAAATTAACAACTACCAGACCGAGAGTCACTTCAGCCTTCCGTTAATAATTTCTGCTATAATTTGCAGTTGCCTTTCCAGTAAGCTACTTACAGTAATTGCTGGTATTAGTAATATTATTATAGAGAAAATTTTCACGTCCATTTCACTATTAAACTGAGCAAGAAGTGCAGTTTCCTGAAATAAGACAGACGAGATGTTTGTATAAAAGAATACCATTCAAATGAATGGATGTGATGCGCATTATGAATCAATGGTAAACATACTGGGACAATTGGTAAGTGTTTATTAAAATTATCTGGATTGTAAAGCAAGAACATTGTGGTGTAGTGGTAAATATTAACATAAAGATTTTCTAGTAAGTTATCTAAGTGGATTGAAATTAATTTTCAGTAGCAGTTCTCGACCTTTTACGTAACTTGATCAAATTGGTAACTATCAAAAGATAATGCCTAATGAAATCACATTATAATACCAAAAAGTCTGTGTGGATAGTAGGATAGTCTCACGTCGTTGATCTAGTATTTTGGAAAAGCGGCTTACCTCTGATGGTCTCGGGTTCGATTCCTCGCACGGTACAAACATTTGTATTTATGCATATGATAGTTTTTATTGACTTGGACGTTATCCACTTACAAAAAAACTAGAGTTGTCTAGTAGCAATAACACAAGCTCTTCTTACCTTGGGACTAGATTGCGCTATGTGAATTGCCAGAGCTTTATTGATAAGCATATGGTCACATTATCTCTACGATAATAAATTGCTGGAATTATGAGTGCTAGATACCTGATTCAAATACTTAAATATTTTATTTGTAAATACATACATAATATGTATAGAAAACGCCCAGACCGATACAAACAATAATAATCTTGAATACAAATGTTTGCACTGTTAGAGAAATCGAACCTGCGTCCATAGGAAGTAAGGCGGTGTGCTAACCACTAAACCATCTAGACAATAATAAATAAGTTTATAAGTAATAATTAATGAATTAAAACCAATTAAGTTGGCTCTCATAACGGGAAACATTTCCGAGGCAGCATACAAACCAAATATGGTTGGCGCAAATGTAAAATAATATTACGCAAATGGAATTTATACGGAACACATAAAACTTTTAAGTGGGATCATTCGTATTCGAGGCGTATTGATGTAACCAAACAGGTAGCCCCCTCTATTCTTATTTGAGATTCATAATGGGCACAATTTCTTTGCTATTAATTTTTTATTTTGGATGATAATGGAATGGTGCGCCCGCCTGCGCTAAAGGTATACGCTGGCGAGGGACTAGTGGAGGATGATAAGATAAGTATGAAGGTCAGGTCAGTTAGCCCATCGTGGCAAATTCAACATTTAGTGAATTTGGTAAATATTTATTTAACATGATGGTTTCAAGGAGAAACTGCGTGGAGGTCAACCTCATATGGTAAATTGCTAGCAATGGGGTTAATAATCCACATTATTAACAATCCGCTATTTAAAGGTTACTTGAGAATATGTATTAATAAACATATGTATATCTACTTGAATTTAGTCTGAGGGCACCGCTAAGGGTTCGAATCCTCGCTCTGGCCGTCGGAATTCCGATCCCCGTTTGAAATGGACGGGGATCCATAGCCTTCTAGTGGTGAAAAAAATACTTTTAATGTATTTACACTAAATTCTGTACAACTAAATACGATTTTAGTTTTTTTTTATATATTTAATCCAAAAGTACTTAATATAACGCCAGCCTAAAGATGGGAGAGGTCAGATTATACTGGCGTCGGCACGCGTGCACGTACCAACTTGTACAAGTCGAAAACAACTCCTTTCGCGATTTAATTAGATCCCCCGCTTTAATTGAAAATATGTTCGAGCATTAAATACGCAAATAAATGGTTTGTACATGAGTACAGACAGCAAAACAATCGCATACCATTATTTTTATTTATATTATGTACTTTATCTATATTTTCCAGAGGTTACGATAAATTTATGTGAAGTTGTTTTATGAAAAACGTATTGATATTACAGAATAATCGACCCTACAACGTCAGCAATGAGGGAGAGTACTAAAACACTACACCACGTGATCACCGGAGGATGGAAAAAACGAAAATGCTTATAATTAACTAAATTACAGCTAAAATTTTAAAATAGCAAGGTCGATATCCGGCGATGCTTGAATTTGATTTTAACACTAATTAGACTATATATACATTTATGGTATATCTTAAATTGATATTGGTACCGAAGTGTTCTATTCTTGTTGGTATTATCCTCGATTTTATGGAGAAATACGAAGCGCAGAATCAGCGGCCGAACGGCAAACAGTGTTTCATTGTCGCGAACAGTGGTCTATTATTGCTGCCACTAAAATCATTCGTGGAAGCGTTTTGTATACACGTACATGGTCAGCAAGAAATTATGGCTATAACAAAGTTGTCAATAAAGATCGAATATAAATAGAAGAGGGGAAAGGGGGGTTAGTAATGTGGACTAATAATCACATTGCTAGTAATGTACTACTATGTACCATATCAGGTTGACCTCCACGTGGTTTTCCCTGCAAACCATCATGATAAATTCTTAATGAATTTGAAACCTATCGTTTCTGTTTCTAATTAACCTGATCTCATTCTTATTACGTCTTCTCGTACATTGTTGCTGTGATAGCGCAACTGGATGTACCATTTAGTACCATCCATTAAAAAATGCCATCAAGTTTTTACCATGTAAGAATCAACCTGTACCTATACTCATATTTGCTACGATGTACTAACTGACCTGACAGAGTAAACCGTTAGCGCAGACGGGTGCGCCATTCCATTATCATTCATACGAATAAAAATATAAATAGAGGAATGCTGTTACTTTCTTTGCTAACGCTACTCCGTCTACATCGCGTCACGTATTGTAAGTAAACTGGCGCTTAACTTGTACTTTGCACATGCCTATTTGCGTAGGGGAACTTACTATGTTAATGACTTCATACAATTTATAATCACCCGTATATACTCGTACTAATATTTCGTAATTTGATTATAAACGTTCCGCTTTCAATGAAATTACGCGGCTCATTTACTTGACAACCTATAATTTTAATTAATATTAATTTGAGGGAGGGTTTGTTGGCAATGAAGGGTAGTGGTCTAATTGCTAGTAATGTGCCATATCAGGTTGACATCCCTTGCAACCTGTGGCTAATTGTTGGTGATTCTCCTAGGTGGATTTACTGGATTCTACAAGGTGACTTAATGCTCGACATATCTTACTGGTCCCTCGCCAGGATATGCTAGAGTAGGCGGGTAGGCCACTTTTATTCATCTGATCGGTCCCCAGTCAAATTTGTTCCATTTTATTTTTTTATCACGTGGAACAGTCTTCAATAGACCGTCTTCTGACCAGAGGAGTGTGTGGAATTCTTACCCACTAAAACTTATGGCGCGCAAAGCTGAGTTTCAGATGCCCTTTTCTTTTTTTTATCACGTGGAAAAATCTTTAATAAACCCCCGACTAGAGGGGTGTGTGGGATTCTTACCCAGTAAAAACTATGACGCCATGAGTCGAACTTCAAACTTCTTTTTTTTATTTTATCGAATGGAAAAATCTTTAATAGACCATCCCCCCGCCAGAGAGGTGTGTGGGACCCACTAAAAACTATGACACTCTGAGTCGAGGTTCATTAACCCGTCCTGTAGATGGTGTAAAGAAGTCTCAGTCTCTCAATCAGTTGTGAAAGTGTATGTGTACTCGTGCCCATTTGTTTAGGACGCTGCCTAAAGATCATTCCCCTAGTGGTGGCCCCAGATTAAAGTCGTAGGTATCTGTTCGGCAGGAGTTGGCCTTCAGCCGCTCCATAAGTCCTTTCGCGGGTTTGTACTACCGTCTGCACTCGCTACCAGTTGTTTGGTGAAGCTGTAAAGGCCAGCTGCAGCTAACAGCATTGGTTTAGTTTAAAAAAAAACATTAAAAGAAATGCATAACCATCGAAATGAAAAGCAGTATCCTAAACCATTGTACTATTATTAGACGGCCTCGGTGGTCTAGCGGTTTACCACACCGCTTTACGTCCGATGGTCGCGGGTTCGATTCCTCGCACGGCACAAACATTTGTATTCATGAGTATGATTGTTTGTATCGGTCTGGGTATTTTCTATGTATAATATGTATTTACGAAAAAAAAAAAAAAAAAACTATGTATTTGTATCAGTTGTCTAGTACCCATAACACAAGCTTTAGTTAGCTTAACTTGGGTCTAGATGGCGCTGTGTGAATTGTCCTGAGATTATTATTATTATTATTATATTATTATTGTACTACCGAGGTCAAGTCCACATGAAATATGAAGACCATCTGCACTCACTTCTACACCTGTAAAGGCCAGCTGCGACGATGCTTTTAGCATTAGAATATTTCGAAAAATAAAAATCTTTAAAAGAAATGCATAACTATAGGAACGAAAAGCAATATTCTAAACCGTTATATAACCGAGGTCAAGCCTACATGAAAATAATATTCTGAACACTAAAAAATTCACACACCAGTATCTTAAAATGTACTGCTATTCCGCAAGCGATCGTTTGTAAGCGAGATATTTTATATACAATCCCTTATCTAACACAATGTATCTGTAATCTCCCTCAGGCACATTATTCAGTTTGGTTCAAGCACAAAAAAAACTCATTCGCTCCCATATTACTGACCCAAAAGCCTACATGAAACCTACCAGTTTAGGTTGACCTCTTTCGTCACCTAGAATTGGAAGAGTTAATATATTATGTGGGCTTGGCAAAGGGTTGTCGGAGGTCTTTGTAAGATGGGCAGTTTTTGTAATGCAGTGATGTAGGAGGTAAGGTAGTGTTATCTTTATTAAATAGAATTCAAAAACTGAAATCTTTGGATTTGAGTAAATATTTTTGTAATGATTAAGTTCTAAAGTGTTTTATGTTTTTTTACATGAATATTATTTCTATTTCCTTTTTGATATTACAAAAAGTGTAATGTCATAGGTATGTTATTATTTTTATAATTTCGTATTACATTTTCTGTTGTAAATATTCTGTTTAAATGATAACATTACTACCAGGCAACTAATAACTATTAATAAACGTAATAAGTTATTCTAATTTAAGACAAAATTTTAAATTAACCTAATAGTAAAT